CTTTTAGTTTGATCATGAATTTCCATAAAAAAAAAAGGGGGGGAAGAAAAAAGGGAAGAAAAGGGTGACCTAGTAAGCTAAATGTTTCCTTGACTTAGAAAGTTGAAGATCCAATGATGAAAGGCATTGTTTCTTTATCCCAAACAGTAACATTGTCCTTTGCTTACCCTTTTTGCGCTCGAAAAAGGCAATCATCCAAATTCAGAAAAGCCAAGATGATTTTCTTCTTGTTAACCCACATTAATGACCGGGGTTGCGAAGAGAGAAATGTGAGGGGAATATATGAAGGAATTGATTTTGAGCTTTTATTCCTTTCTTTCATAATAGCCTAACCCCAAGCCACATTACAAGCCTATGTAAAGTCCTTATTTGAGGGTTTGAAACTTTCTTTGTCAAGGAACATTAAAAGAAAAAGAAAAAATCCTTTCTCTAGTGAGTCCAAGTCAGTTAGCTTGATGGTTTATGATCGGTCTTCTAAACATTAAAGGTTAGTTCATGGGAAGGAGATAGATTCGATTCGTCCACCTTGACATGGAAGTAGACATTGTCTCATATGCTAAAGACTAGATTGGTGGAGTTTTAAAGAAATAAATTCTTGAAGCAATAAATTCTTGAAGCAAATACTTTATAGCCTGAATGCCTTTGTTAAAATTGTTGCACAATTCAAAAATCATGTTTATCTCTTTCTATCCATACATATTATCCATGCCCTGGCCTTCTTTTTCTTGTTTAGATTGGGATGCTGATTGGTTATGATGCTTTATTTCAGTTAATATAATTGCTTTATTTAACTGAAATCTCTTGACAAATCTGAAAATGAGATGCGAGTTGCAGAGAAAAGCAAAAGCTTGACGGTCATGGTGCTTATCCTCTCCTGCAATGATTCGAGAATTTTCCCCAGTGAACTAGAGATGCTCTCAAGTCACTGAACTTTATGCAAAGCATGTCATCAGCCTATTGATAAATGTGCAACATGAAGGTCACTGGACTCTTGCCAAATATGGGTATCCAATATGTTCAGGGAAGTTTTTTTTAACCTCTCTTTGTTAAAAAACCATTTCTCTCTCAGTTAAAAAACCATTTCTCGTTTGGTTCAAAAACCATTTTTTTTGCTCGGTTATAAAACCGTTTCTTGTGTGGTTATAAAACCATTGCTTGCTCAGTTATAAAACTGTTTCTTGTTCGGTTATAAAACCGATTCTGCTAAACTAGCTTGGTTATACAACCATGGCTACTCAGCTTGCTCAGTCGTTTGACTGTTGCAACTCAACTTACTCGGTTATAAAACCGTTTCTTGCTTGGTTATAAAACCATCTCTTGCTCAGTTATAAAACTGTTTCTTGCTCGGTTATAAAACTGATTCTGCTCAACTAGCTTGGTTATACAATCATGGCTAGTCAACTTGCTCAGTCGTTTGACTGTTGCAACTCAACTTACTCGGTTATAAAACCGTTTCTTGCTTGGTTATAAAACCATCTCTTGCTCAGTTATAAAACTGTTTCTTGCTCGGTTATAAAACTGATTCTGCTCAACTAGCTTGGTTATACAATCATGGCTAGTCAACTTGCTCAGTCGTTTGACTGTTGCAACTCAACTTACTCGATTATAAAACCGTTTCTTGTGTGGTTATAAAACCATTTCTTGTTCAGTTATAAAACTGTTTCTTGATCGGTTATAAAACCGTTTCTACTCAACTAGCTCGGTTATACAACCGTTGCTACTCAACTTGTGGTTATAAAACCATTTTTACTTTACTTGTTCGGTCATTTGACCGTTGTGGTTATAAAACCATTTTTACTTTGCTTGCTTGGTCATTCGACCGTTGTGGTTATAAAACCATTTTCACTTTCCTTATTCGGTCATTTGACCGTTGTGGTTATAAAACCATTTTTACTTTGCTTGCTCGGTCATTCGACCGTTGTGGTGACTTGTCCCACCTTATAATTTGGACGAGTGGCGACTCCCTCTTTTTTTATATTTTCACACTTGAATTTTTTCATTTATTTTGACAAAATCTGAAGTGGTCGTCAACAATACCAATGATGAGAAGCTAATGATACATTACTTCCAGGACAGTTTGATAGGTCTTGCAGATGCTTGGTTCTCTACTTTAGACAAAAGCAAGGTCAAGAGTTGGCATGATTTGACTCACAATTTCACGAAGCAATATGAATATAACACATCATTAGCTCTTAGTAGAGAAAATCTTCAAAAGATGGAAAAGAAATCAAGTGAGAGCTTTAAGGAATTTGCTCAAAGATGGTGTGGATTGGCTGCTCAAGTTCAACTTCCATTGACTAACCATGAATTGAGTAATTTATTAATCAAGTCAACCAAAGGGCCTTATCGCAAGAAGTTAATAACTTGTGTGAATTACACTTTTGCTCAATTGGTTGTTGTGGAAGAACAAGTGGAGGATGAAATCAAGTCTGGAATTATTATGGATTATCAAGTAATGAAGAGTCTTCTTGAACAATACTAAAATGGTAGTTCAAGGGTTTCTAATTCAAAGAGAGTTAATCAAAATCGAAAGAAGGAGAATGAAAATGGCACTATAAGCTCAATTTATGAGGCATATGGAAGAAATAATCAGTCATGTGAGCAGTTCAACAATTGGTTCCAAGCTCCAACTTATCAATCAACGGCTTTTTCAAGTCAACTAAGGCCCGTTTATGCCTCCAGGACAAGTCGTCCACAACAAGAGAAAAAGAGACACTATTTTGATAAACTTCTAGTGTCATAAAATAAAGTGTTTCGACAATTGATAATAGCTGGGCTTGTTACCCCTGTACCTATGGTGCCATTAAATCCACCATTTCTAATATGGTATAACCCACAAGCAAGATATGAATACCACAATGGAGGAGGTGTTGGGCATGATCTTGAAAATTGTCATGCTTTAAAGCACCATATCCAAGATCTGATAGATGCAAAAGAGTTACAGATTGCATCAAAACCTGAGGTTGTTGGTCCAAATATCACTAAAAACCCTTTACCAACACATGATGGTCCAATAGTTAATATGATCTAGAAAGACTTTCATAAAGGTCAAGAGGTGACTGCAGTTACTATTACCAATCAAATGTCATCAACTCCTAGACTGCCTTTTATATTGAAGGGGCCAACTATTACAACAAATGATGGTTTAGGCACTTCTTTTGAGAAGTTAAGTATATGCGTCATTGATAAAAGGAAGGATGATGACAAGGGTATTTTACTTGTTCATGGTGAATCTATGGACAACTAGATAGTAGAAATTCTTCCTGTTCCTATCATTAAATCGTATGATGTGTCAATCTTCTGATGGTTAAGCTTGTGACCATGAGAAGAGATGGCTAAAACAAGTCTTTTATATTTTATGAAGCATTGTAGGCATGACAAATAATGTTCCCATTCAGTTCATTTCAATAAATGATGTTACTTTCATTTTCTTTTCCTCACTTCATATGCAAAATTGCTCATTTTCTTTTGCTTTATTCAATTTTTTATGCTAGCCAAAATTTCAATCTCCAGGTTTGCTAATAATAAATCCACAAATAGTGATATGATTCTTGAATTTACACATAGTTTTGACGAATCGATTTATTTTATGAAAGATGATGAAGAATTAGAACCTTTTCCTGAATTGACTAATATGTTGAAAGAAGAAGAATCAAAATTGCAGCCTAATCAAAATGGTTGCAGCATATAATAGGAAGCTCAGGCCTTGAAGGTTTTAGGAAGGAGATGTTGTTTTGAAGAAAATCTTGCCCAATGAGAGGGATCCAAGGGGAAAATTTGCTCCAAACTATGACTGTCCTTACATTTTGAAGGTGACTTTTTCAGTAGGAGCTTTATTATTAGCTTATCCTAATAGTGATGATCTCCCATATCTGGTGAATGTAGATGTTGTTAAGAAACACTATGTCTAAAAAAAAAAGGGCTAGGCTGAAAAACCCAATAAGGCAGTCGAGGCAAAACAAAGAAAAGTGTTCATGATGAGGGAGTAAAGAATCCAATGACAAAAGGCTATTCTTCTTTATTCTTTAAACATGAAATCATCCTTAGAAACCCTTTTTGAGCCAAAAGAAAAGGCAATCATCTAACTTATAAAAGCCTGATGATTTTCTTTCTAAATTATCCTACATCAAGAACCTGGGGTGAGAAGAGTGTTAGCGAGGGGATTCAAAGGGAAAAGGGAATTTTGAGCCATTTTATCCTTTCTTTCTAATTAGCCAAGCCCTAAATCACGATACAAGCCAATTTGAAGTCTTTATCAGAGGATTTGTAGCTTGCTCATCTAAGAAGAGAAGAAGAAGAAGAAGGTCTAAAGTTGAACTTAGGCTAATGACAGTAAAAAGATCTATTGAAAGGAGATAATCAAGGTCTAAAGTTGAAAACTTGAAAGG